TCTCCCACAGGGGGGAGACAGAGAGGGAGGGAGGGGGAGAGGGAGGGAGGGAGGGAGGGAGGGAGAGAGAGAGAGAGAGAGAGAGAGAAGGAGAGAGAGGATGGGAAAGAGAAATGATATTACAAATGTTCTTCTTTTTTATTGTTGCTAAACGTAACATTTCAAAAGCAAAACAAAAATGAAGGGGCATAAAAGTGCATTTGTCATGTTTTTCTTAGACCAATTAGCTGAACTCTGCCTTGGTTATCATTATTTTAGGTAGCAAAACCTCATTATTCAGGTTAAATTGCCATGTTGGCACTTTGTGATAAATAAGTGGGTTTTGGGTTGCAGTTTGGGCACTCGGTCTCCAAAAGGTTTGCCATCACTGGGTTAGGGTGATTTCCAGATCCAAATGGAAATTTATTTATTTTTTATTTTCCGGAGAATTACATAAATAATCTCCAACTCTGTAATGTTCTGTTAAATCAGTGTTCAAGCTAAATCAGTGTTCAAGTTAAAGAGACTATTATTTTATACAGGAAACAAGGAAGAAATGGTTTGTAGTTCATAAACTACAAATGAGAAAAGATTCCAGAAATATATATAAATATATCTATATATATTTAATCAAAGTGCAATTTTTACAGGAAAAGAATTGTGAAAGCACACAGAGGAAAGGGAAAGCAGAAGCTGCTTAAGCAGAAACACCCAGCAGGACAGAAAGCCCTGTTATTGATCTACTACAAGGAAGTCATATCATTGAGGGCGTGGTCCAATTCCTCGCTGATGGCCTTGTACTTCAACTTTTGAGCATACAGCTCATCTGCAGAGCAAAGGGTGGCGAGAGAGGCAGGATGAAATGATGAAGCAACAGGCGCATAGGGAAGTTCAGAGATGTTGCCACAAGCAAGGCGAGGTGGAAGAGAAAGAGAAAGGGAAAGAAATGAATGTTAAAACACAGAAATGCAAGAGGAACATGAAAATGAAAATTTCAGCAACAGAAAGTTGAGAATGTTGGAAAGATTAAGCATTCAATTTTCAGAGCGTGAAGAACATTTTAAATTTGAGCTGCTTACACTGGCCTGTCATAATCACCTTGGATTTTTCTGGACCCCAAAGAAGGTTGTTTCCAGCATAAAACATTTACAAGAAATCAAACTAGGATATTTCAAATTTGGGACAGCCATTTTGAGCTCGGAAGATATTATGCCTTCAAAACAATTGTAATTCAAAACATTTTGCACTCCCCTATTCAGTATTATATATCCTACTTTCAGCTCTTAGATTTTTCATTAAATTATTACAATTTTTTAAAAAAGAAATCCAAAAGCTAGGCAAATTGCAAAGAATGAGCTTTGCTCACCTGAACACCAACCAATCAAATCCACAACAAAAAAGAGAAATGTTTAATCTTAGCTATTCTTATCCTCAGGTGCTGTTTTAAATTGCACCAAGATAATGAGCGAGACTGCCATAAAATACTTCAGGGAAGGAAAAAGCCTTCTAGAACAGGAATCTCCAAACTTGGCGACTTTAAGACTTGTGGACTTCAACTTCCAGAGTTCAACTTCCAGAGCAAAGCTGGCTGAGGAATTCTGGGAATTGAAGTCCATTAGTCTTAAAGTTGCTAAGGTTGGAAACCCCTGTTCTAGAGGCCAATTCACGGACATGTAATGATGCAAACAGTGTCATCAGTGGAAAAAGTTTTCCATCCCAAGCTTCAAAAGCTTTAGCCCATACCTTCCAAATCATCAATGCTCTTTTCCAGTTTAGCAACTGTTCTCTCCGCAAACTCAGCTCGTGTTTCAGCCTAAGAACAGACAATTAAAGCAATGAAAAGGTTGTACTACGGATTGGACATCACTTTTCCTTCTCTGAACTCTAAGCCAACATGATCACTGGTCTCACTCACCTCCTTCAGCTTGTCAGTCAGAAGTTTGATTTCCTCTTCATACTTGTCCTCTTTTTCAGAATACTATGAAAACAAGGTTAACATTAATCATTTTGTTTGTAAGAGGAGGGAGAGAGAATTGTAGAAAACAAGCACCTGAAACCATTTCATTTCTTAATTACGTATACACTGGACTTCCTCCAAGACAGGGGTGTCAAACTCAATTTCATTGAGGGCTGCAGTAGGGTTGTGTTTGACCTCAGGAAGGGGTGTGTAGCCATGGAGGGCATGGTCAACTTGATGTCACTCATGTCAGGGGCGCCTGGGGCGGCCCCAGCACTCTGCCAGTGAAAATGGGTTCTCAAGCTCCATTTATGGCTGCGATGGCCTCCTGCAACCTTCTGACAGCGAAAATGGATCTTGGGGAGGGGTGGGATGCGCAACCATTGTGAGCCCAGTTTTTGGCTGCAATGGCCTCCTGCAGTTCTCTGCCAGCAAAAATAAAGCTCAGAGGGGGGGCGGCTGTGCAACATGGAGCTCTATTTTCTCTGGTAGAGGGCTGCAGGAGGCTGTCTTGGCCAAAACGGAGTTGGCAAGTAGCTCACCATGGGCCAGTCCCTCACTGTTTGCAGGGCGGCCCCATGGGCCAGATCTAAGCACCCCGCAGGCCGGATCCAGCTCCTGGGCCTTGAGTTTGACACCCCTGCTCTAGCTTGAAGTCTAGGGTCACCAACTCCCTCTTTTATTGAGACCCATGAACCACACATATTGGCTCATTAAATGTCAGCAACATTGTTTAAAGATGAAGAAGCAAAACAAAAGAAATAAACCATTACTAAAAACACAACACGTATTTATGATGGTTGCAGTGTCTCGGAGGTCATGTGACCACCTTTTGTGACTTTCTGACAAGCAAAGTCAATGAGGAATTCGGATTCACTGAACAATCGTGGTCCTAACTTAACATGGTATTGGACCTGGGTACTTGAGAGACCGCCTCTTGCCAATTACCTCCAATAGACCGATNTTTCATGGGCCTTCGGCATTTAGTCATGCCGGATGACCCCGGAGACGTCTTTGGACACTGCTGGCTCTTTGGCTTTGAACCGGAGATGAGCACTGCCCCCTAGAGTCAGGAACGACTAGCACATATGTGCAAGGGGAAACCTTTACCTTTATTGGAAGGGGGGAATGTGTATACTTCTCCAGCTAACGCTTATATGTTGTACCAATAATCTGCTCTGGCTGATGCAGTTGTGGTTCAATTTCCTATAAATTTTGCCTTATTGGAGCCTTAACAATGTCTTCCTTAGGTAGGCCTCAGGTTTTGGGAGAATTACCTCTATATACTCATCAACCATTACTTATTCTGTAACCAAAGTTACAATGGCACTGAATGTGGGATATTAACAACAGATCCTCATAGTTGTGACCATCCCTGCAGTCACACGATCATGATTCGGATGTTTGGTGACTTGCTCACAATTATGACATCAAAATATCCCGCAGCTATGTGTCTACCATCTGCAACTTTCACTGCCAGCATCTGACAAGGAAAGTCAATGGGGAAGCCAGCGGGAGGTAGCAAAGGGTTTTATGATTTGTTTTAACAACGGCAACCGGAATTGCTGCCGGTGTGCAGCATGGTCATGTGAAGCCATGCTTTACAATCATATCACTTAGTGACAGGTTACCATTGTTAAGCAAGGACTACCTATGTTCTGGCTTCACTATGCACACATCTTACAGTTTGCATTATGGGAATAGTAATAATTACCACCTATTACTAAATTGGTGTTGATACAATAAGGTCCAGGTTCTTGAAAGCTTCAGAGTTTATCCATTGTCGCCTAGCCATGTCTTTTACCTCATTGAGTCCCCCAACTCTCTTTTTCCCCAAATTCCTTCCCAGAAATCCCCATGAAGAGTCTATACGTACATCTGTGGCTTTCTTTTCAGCTTGCTCCAATTTCTCCTGGGCATCCCTCAGGGCTTCAGAGTACTTATCCAGCTCGTCTTCTGTCCCTTTCAACTTCTTCTGCAAAGCCAACAGCTCATCCTCCACCTATCCAGAGATCAAAAGTTAGCCATTAAGACAATGTTTCTCAAATTTCTAACATCATGCTGGCTGGAGAATTCTGGGAGTTGAAGTCTGCACATTTTCAAGTTGCCAAGGATGAGAAACACAGCATTATCAGAAGCGGCTTAGTAGTTACCTGATATCTTTTGTGTGTGTGTAGTGAAGACTAATTCTTCACCTCTTTCAAATCATTTTGTGGCTGTTTTAAAGAAGATTTTCCTTAGATCTGTTTTCTGTATGTCAGATTTTAAAGCCCAGACATCTGATCTTCCTGTACAGATTTCATATCAGGAGCCTAGGTTCTTTTAGATGCTATCTCTATCTCTATCTCTATTTCTATATCTCTATCATCTCCATCTATCTATCTATCTATCTATCTATCTATCTNGCACTTATGCGCCCCACCCCATCCGAGATGGCGATGGAAGGCAAACAGAAGGAGGGGGGCAGATCTGGGTGCGCTCGGACCATTCATTGCAAGCCGAGAGCTTCCTTTTTTTTTTTTTTTCTTCCCGGCCAGGCGAAATCTTGAATTCATTTTAGCGGGAGCCGGGGAAGCAAAGCCAGGGAGGCCTCCCCGCCTCGCCGGCCGAGATCGGAGGCGCCGAACCCCGGAGGGAGCCTAGGGAAAAGCATCGCGGCCAAAGCGCTCTGGGGCAGAGCCGGCGATGCAGGGAGGAAGAGGGGGGAAGAAAGAGACGGCGGTGCCGCCCTGGCAGACGTGGAAGGCAAAGCGGGAGCAGGGTTGGCTCCACCCTCGTCCGCCCGTCCTCCAGCCTTGCCTTATACGGGCAAAAGGCACAGCAGGCGGCGGTCTGGCCGGGCTGGGATGTGGGAAGAGAGGAGGAAGGCAGGCGAGGAAGCGGAGGAGAGGCAGAGCGAGAGACGAGAGCGGGGCCCCGGCAAAGGAGGCTTTTCCCTCCGCCGTCGATGCTCACTTTATCGCGCAGCTCCCGCTCCTGATCGCGCTGGCGTTGCAAGACTTGGGCGCGGTCCTCGGCGTCGTCGGCTTCTTGCTGCAGCGCCTGGATCTTGCGCTTCACCGCCTCCAGCGATCCTGTAGTGCCTGCCATCCTAGCGGCGGGGCTGGTCGAGTCGGATCCGGTGCCGAAAGAAGGGCTGCGAGAGCTCACACGTGGGGCCGCGGTGGCAGCGGCGGCGGCAAGGATGCGGCTCCGGTGCTGGCGGGAGGAAAGCAGCTGGGGAGGGGTTTTGACGTCAGCACCGCTGGAGGGCGGGGCCGTGACGTGGCCACCGCTGGCCCAGCCCAAACGGGGCCGCTCGGCAGCCCTTTCGGGAGAGCGAGGTGGGGCTTTGAGGGGCGGGAACGGCGGGGCGGCTTCTTGGCATCCTTTGTTGGGCCCTGGTCTCTTCGGCGAGGCTCCTGTCTCCACAACGTCTGCTGAGTGGCAGCAATAAAGGCGGCTCAGGCTGCCCCACCTGGAACGCGCCGGCTGGGGATTTGGGGAATACGAGAGATTGGGGACGGACGGCGCTTTGTCTGCCTCCGCGCCCTCAAGTCTAGCGAGAGTTCCCGCGCTCAGCCGAGCCGGTGCTTCATTCAAGGCCCGACTGCGGAAGAAAACCGAATTCCTGCAACAACCGAGGGCGCGTTCATACATTCTTCCAACTCTCTATGTGTGATGTGGATACCTAAGATCAGGGAACTACGGTGTTTCCCTGAAAATAAGAGAGGGTCTTATTTTCTTTTCACCCCCCATATAAGCACTTGGCCTTATTTTTGGGGAGGTCTTATTTTTGAGGTTCAGGAGGTAGCCAGTGTGGTCACCTCATGGCTGCTGCTGTGTTGCAATATTTTGGGAGAGGGTTTATTTTTGGGGAGGGCTTATTTTAGCGCTCAAAAGCCCATTTGGGCTTATCCGGGGAGGTCTTATTTTCAGGGATGCAGGGTACATGGGGGGTCGAACTAACTCCAAACAAGGTTTCTCCCATCTCAGAAACATGCAGGGTACGATGCCTGGGGAGCAAATGAGGATCAACCCAGTTTGGGAGAATCAAAATCCACCTGGAAAGGCAGCCATTTGCTTGTGTTAGCATAACCTGCTTCAACTGGTTCCTTTGAATACACAGTATACTGAAGCATAAATCAACAAAATAGTCTAGATGTTAATAACATGTTAAATTGCAAAATAAAGGAAGCTTAGTGGGCGCACAAATACGCCTACTAGGACTTTTATGGCAACTGGTTAAGCATATGTGAACACAGCCCTAATTGGAAGCTGTAGAGCTGGCTCTGGGATCACCTTCCTATAAATTACTTAATCTCACAACACATGGAGAGACTCAACCATAGTTTCAACTGGGAAATTTAGCGCTCTAGACCAAGCTAAATCCACAGATGTTCGGAAAACCCAGGAAGTTTGGCATTCAGACAAATTAATTAACCATCACATAAGCTACATTTTCTCACTGTTCAAAATAAACAATACAAAAGTTAAGGAAACCAAAAGACCGGAATACATTCTCTTCCGCAGCCAACACCCGGATAAGCAGGGATTAACACCAAGCAAACATCAAGCAGAAAATAATACATTAATCAAGAAGCTACCAAGTAGCAAGCCACACCCTCACCAATATTAGGGCAAGCTACTTCATATAAACAGGTAATGCCACACTCTCTTACATGGATGAGGTTACCTTGTTGGGTAAAGAAACACCTTCAGGCAAATAACCAGAGAGCCCAAAGACGCCACTGTTCAACCCTGAGTAACAAATGTTCTCTTCTAGTGGCATCTTCCTTTTGTCCCTCAGTGGCTCTGTGTTCCTGTATGAGGGAGTGTTCACCTTTGAGGTTACTCATAAAGGTTGGTTTGCCATATCCTGATCAAAAAAGCAATTGTAGATTTTTCTCTCCCCCCCCCCAAATACAGAGCCTTCAAGGGGGCTTACCTGGCCTGCTCTGTGTGAGCAGAAAAAGTGAAAGGGTGGGATCCTTGTGTAGGAAAGAAAACATGGAAGAGCAGATCACCTCCCACAGACTCAATGCGGCTAAACAGATTTTTCCGCTTTAGTCGAATACAGAGGTCTCCAACCCTTGGGCTGCAGCCCACTACCAGCATGTGATCCTTTCAGAACCAGGCCACGGAAGTGGCAGATGAGTGTGAATGTGCACACATCCCTGCTTGCTCAAACAGCAGGTGACCAGGTATCTGTGCAGCTTGCCCACTGCACACATGGGAACCATCCCCTCCCTCCCTCGCCCCCTCAGTCCACAAAGCTGAAAAGGTTGGGGAACTCTGGTCTAGGGGTTAAGGCACCAGGTTAGAAAGTAGGAAACTGAGTTCTAATCCTGCCTTAATCATGAAAGCCAGCTGGGTGACTTTGGGTCAGCTTTCTTCCTTCCTTCCTTCCTTTCCTTTCTTTCTCTCTCTCCCTCCCTTTGTCTGTCTATCTCTCTCTGTGTCTCTCTCTGTGTCTGTCTATGTCTGTGTCTGTCTCTCTCCTCCCCCCCAACTCACCTCGTGGGGTTGTTATTGTGGAGAAAATACAAGGAGGAAGGTGTGTTGGATAAGTTTGACATCTTGAGTTATTTGTAAAACCCACAATGCTGAAAAGGTTGGGGAAACTCTGGTCTAGTGATTAAGGCACCAGATTAGAAAGTAGGAAACTAGTAGTTCTAGTCCTGCCTTAGCCATGAAAGCCAGCTGGACGATTTTGGGCCAATNTGTGAGGGCAGGGCTTTGGGAGGCCAAAAATGGCTGTATTTGGTGTATATGAAGCACCAACATTTCCACCCTCTTTTAGGGAGGGAAAGGTGCATTTTATAATCTGAAAAATACGGTAATTTGGGAGATTATTATAATTTTTTCCCACTGCTGCATGCCGCCAGAATTCTTCAGGAATGGATTGGTTAGAAGTGCAGAGAGAAAGAGAGAGATGCGGACAACATACAACTCAAGGCTCCCTGGTATACCGGTAGTTACACACATCCAAGACTATCCTCACATACCATAAGCGGCTAGATGAGGGCAAACAAGCTGAAAAACAACCACGTAAACCTATAGTTCCTCAGAGAGATGACTCTCAAGCATCAATCTTCTGAGTAGAGCTCACACAGGCGTACGGACAACCGAGAGGCACAATCAGCTTGTGTCCAAGAGCTTTAATTATTAGCTGCAATGCCCCACATGGAATTTCCCTTGAAAAGTGGCCCAGAAATTATAGCAAGTGCAAAGTGCTTAGAGAACACAGGTTGGGAAAGATGATTCTGGATGCCCTCGAGCACTTTTTAGAAGTTACTCTGCAGGTAACTAATGAGTTTCTTGCCTTAATCAGATTTCTGACAAGCAATGATCAACTCACAGTTCAGACACCTCAGCTCGTTCTTCAGCTCTTTCCAGTTCTCCCTCCAGAATGACAAGCTTACGGGCAACCTGGAGAAAGTTTTTAAAAAAAACATCATTAAAAACCAAACAATACAGTTCCAACATAAAGCATCTATTACGGTCAACATCTGCACTCCTCTACATTCCAAAAATAGCGAACTGGCACTTAAATACAATTGGCACGTCCTTGGAAAATTACGGAGTCCAGCTGCAGTGGTGAAACGCTGATCACCCTGATATTTTCTCAGCGATTCTGTTTGGTTGCCGAGTGGCAAATAATGCTTCTGTCAGGGTTATTCTCAAGGCTTTAACTTGAAATGTTAAGTCCTAAATTTGCAACATAGATTGGAGCACATTCCAAAGGGAACACGCAAACCAGGCTCACGAGAAGCACAGGAATTCAATCAAAATAAAATTAAGATTCGGGGCATCATAGAAACTCGCCTTGTTCATTATAACTACCTTTGAAACCGCAACTCGGGCTCTTGGGAAACTACCTAGTCCCCGCCCACTTTGTGGCTTGTCTAGCCAAGTTTTATGTCTTACTCCAGATCTTTCCAGCGGAGCAAGGATTTCCCAGACATGCTGCCAGAGGCAGTTTTAAACTGGAGGAACTGAGCCCAAGGCCTCCTGCAGGGGGAAAAAAAACCCCAGGAGCTTCACCTCTTGGGCTGTTATTCCACCAAAATAGGCTGGGAGACATGGGGTGACAAATGATATTTTGAAGTTTGCAGCCTTTTCCTCGTTTCTTTAGGGCAACTGTGCTTGCCAGCTTCCAAATAAGTTCAAACTGCCGGAATGCCCCGCAGCACGACAGGTGCCTAAGAACGTCTCCCTTCCCCAAACTGTTCCCAGGTGTTCCCCTCTCTCGGGAGAGCTGCTTTACCTCCTCATATTTGCGGTCAGCTTCTTCAGCAATGTGCTTGGCTTCCTTCAGCTGCATCTCTTGAATCTCCATTTTCTCCTCATCCTTCATAGCTCTGTTTTCAATGACCTTCATACCTCTGTGGAAGGAGTGGAAAGTAGTGTTTTAAACCCTCTGGGAAAGTTGTCTACAGATGTTATGTGTGTCTTGGTGGGAATCCATATTTGGAGTGTTTATCAAGACCAATGCATGGGCAGCAACTTTCATGTCTGTTCAACAACTGGAAAAATGTGACCGATCTTATGTATATAATACAACTTAATCCTGGCTAGTCTGTCCACACTGTAAACCTTCTAGGAATGGGTTCCTGAATCTCTGTATCCCTCTATGTTTTATTATTATATGTTGTGGGCATTTTTTTTAGACTTTTCTACTTAAATAAGCACTCATGCACATAATGCTTGTACCATCTACTATTGTACTCATTTGTCTTTATATTTATACAGTACTTTTTATGGCTCTGTATAAATCAACTTAATGTTTACTTTGAATTCTAGGAGTTGAAGTTCACATTTCCCGCTTGAGCAGGTGGTTGGACTAGAAGACCTCCAAGGTCCCTTCCAACTCTTGTTATTCTCTTACATATCAGGACAACACAACATCAGGAAAAGTATAATAGATCAATAAATGTTACAATAATCACTAAGAGCAGCTTAGTTCTTTTCCTTAGCATCCTTTTAAGCGCAAAGCAATTTATAGTAGTAATATTATTTACTGGATTATATTTCATAGTTTTTTTCACTCACCAACTGACAGTAAAGTATTTGCTCAACTAGCTTGGTAATTTGATTGCAAACATTTTGTCACCATTTGAGGAGACATTGTGTGTTTTGAGTAGTGCTCTTCTGTCAGAACACAGGTCTTTAGACGAGCACAACTCAAACATACTGTCGATGTCTCCTTGAATGGTGATGAAATGTTTGCAACCAAATTGCCAAGCTCGGAGCTCAAACCAACAGGCTAACTTCCAACCCGAGCTACTAATATTTAAATACATTTCAAAACATGATTATTACAATTCTAGTGACTGTTAATATATAGTCACCATTGTGATATAATCTCTAGATTTATTTATTTTTATTTTTTCCAAAAACAAAATGAAAAGGGACCAAAACTTTGTTTATCTATCTTCCTGCCAGCAAGTTATCTGTCTGAAAACTGAGCAGAACAGGACTAAATTTGGAGTTGGGAAAAGAAGCTGGCAAATGGAAAGCTGAATCTGAAAACTAGATGTCAATAATTTTTCCCAATGCTTCTCAATGAGGAAGGCAAGGGGATAAAGTTTAGGACTGTAAACCCTTCTTATCACATTGCCCAGAGGAGAATGTATACAAACCGCATTGTGTTTCCCAATGCACTCATAAAAATTAACAGATACACCACAGAACAGAAAGAAAGGCTTCAAAGAGCCATGGTCAGCATGCTTTCCTTACGTCATTAATTCTTGTAGCTGTATTATTAGAGCACCGTTTTACAACCTCAGCAACTTTAAAATCTTGGAACTTTAACTCCTGCTTGCTGGAGAATTCTGGGAGTTGAAGTCCAGCCATATTAAAGGCGCTGGAGTTGAGAAATAGTTTAGTAGAAGATATCAGTGGCTAATCTCCTGCAATCTATACAGTAGAGGGCCATATCTAGGGACCACCTTTCCCTAAAGACATCTACCTATTCCACCAGGGCAGTTAGGGTGGGCAGGCTCCTAGCCCCTTCCCCTAAATATTGATTTCTGATGGGAGTTAGGAAGTGTGCCTTTCAGTGGAAGTCCTGCCCTATGGAACACCTTTCTCCCTGAAATTCGGGAGACCTCTGCCCTCTAGACTTTTTTAAAGTTTTTTTTTATTTTCATACAAATAACCATATATATATACCATTGCATCATAACCAATACTATTTTGTTCCTCTTACCATCAACCCCCAAAGACTATCATTTGCTCTTCTGCTTTCCATACACATTATATATTATATAGATGGTTATTCAACCTCCTCTCCCTCTCTCCTCTTCCCTACCTCCTTTCTTCCCTCTATCATCCTTCTCTACTTCCCCTTCCTCTCTTCTTCTCCTCTTTCTATTCTTTCTTTCTCTCCTCCTCCTCTTCATCTCGCTTGCATGGTGTATTTCAGTGTCTGAGCAGACTCCATTTAATGTTGATAGTATTAGTAATTTCATTTCAATAAACACCTTTCATATTAATAATTTTAACAGATATCTTCCTTAAAAAAACAACAACTATACATACCCTCCTAGACTTTTGTAAAGCTTTCAAGACCTGGCTTTGCCCCCTCCCCAAAATGTTGGGAGATGATTGAATAATGGCACAGTAAAAGGTTGACTTGGGGCCAGGTTTTCATTTGTTTTTATCCATTTAGTTTTATAGTTTTAATATGATTTTATATATTATTTTATCTTTTTATTGGGAGCTTCCCAGAGTTGGTTAGAATATGGTCAGCTGCATGAATGTTTTAAATAAACAAACTCCCTAGCCTTGTGAAAACTTCTGAAAAATTCTTAAAACAAGGTACATCACAGGTAGTCCTCAACATATGACTACAACGGAGCCCCAAATTTATGTCACTAAGCGAGACAGCTCTTGTGAATTTTGCCCTGTTTCACGAAGCTCCTTGCCGCAGATGTTAAGTGAATCGCTGCAGTTGTTAAGTTAGTAGCACAGTTGTTGAGTGGAACTGGACCTCCCCATTGTCAGTAGATCCCAAAAGGGATCAATCACATGACCCCCAGGACACTGCGACCATCGTAAATACGAGACAGTTGCCAATCATCTGAATTTTGATCACATGATTATGGGGATCCTGCTACGGTTGTGACTGTGAAAAACAGTCCACAAGGCACTTTTTCGGTGCCGTTGTAACTTCAAACGGTCACTAAATGAACAAGTTGAAGACTACCTGTACCACTGAATGTGTGCTAAATGCTTGCGGCCCTCTTCCATCGGCAATCAATATCCGAAAGTACCGAGAGTAACCAACAAAGAAAGCCATGTGAGCTGAACAGCGTAAAAACCTTTGTTCTTGTTCATTCCTCTGATGTCTTGTCAGGACTTGTCAGGACATTTTAAGATGTTTTAACTGACTCTCTTTAAGACCAAGAATACAGATTTGGTAAACCAGAAGCAAAGCTCACAGTGTAGTAGTTGATTAAGGCAGCTTAGTATACAAATGTCTCTAGCTCTGATTTCCTTTTACAAGGAAGTAATTCTCCGATTGCTTCATTAAGCTGCCTTATTGTTAAAGTCACTTTTATTAGGCCACTTTGGACTCTTTTAACTTCCAAGAACGCATTATCTTATTGACTTAGACTACATAATTTTATATTTTTTGCTATTTAAAGCTAAAGTAGACCAAATTTTCATGGTACATGCTTTTCTCATGGCTGTGAAGGCAGCGGTCAGCCTCAAAATCAATGCTTTTGCAGGCTTTTAGGGAAAAAAAACATTCTAATGTTTAAATTTTGGGGAGATATTACATGGCTGATAATTAGCGATTTGTCACTGTATTCTAACAGGACAGAGTATTGGGGGACACATGCAAAATTAAACTCATGGATGGCCAATCTGTGGTTTAAGCCTCACAGAGACAGCAAAACAGGCTAACAGAGCCAGGGATGGAAATGACCCGAGGTCTTTATTCATCCATGTAACTTTTTTCTTCCATTCAATCATGTCTGATTCTCAAAGATTGCAAGGAGAAGCCTGTGCACTTTCGTGGCACGACAAAAGCGCGAACGTCAAAACTGCGCCACCAAAAGCGCGATGTCAAAAGCGCGCCAACAGAAGCGTGATTTAAGTTAAGGTAAGGTTTAGGGTTAGGTTTAGGGTTATGTTACAGCGCGCTTCTGTCGGCGCGCTTCTGTCGGCGCGCTTCT